CTTACAGCTGATTTTTACATAGCGTGCTGATTTTTGTGCACAAAAGTGTTGGTACAGAAGTCACTCTCAACAGTGTAACTAGTCTGGCCTCCAGCCTCCTCCCAAATGGTACTGCTCTTCATTCTATCCTACCACCACCACTCCGGAGTTTTTCTTCTAAAGACCTAAGGTGTATATCTTCCTCCTAAATTTCCATAGGAAAAATTTACTCATTTAGGATAGAAGCCACTCTGCCATAGTATGAGACACTAGCTGCAGAAAGACAATTTATAGGCACAGAGATGATACACGGACTCCAGCTGGACTTAATTTAATTCTGGCATTTACAGTTTTCTCTCTATATCATTTCTTAGTGATATCCTATCTTTTATTGCCAGTCAGGAGCATGATACTTTTTCTTAAATTCCCTGCTTCCTGAACAAAGCAAGGTCATATCTAGGTCCTTGCACTGCCCCGTCATTTGAGTTATCCTGGTCCTCTAATCATTAACCAAAATTCATCTATTGCTCTTTTCTTTGCATACTTTTTTCTTGGCACAGATTTTTTCCTTTTCTTCCTCTTCCTCCTCCTCCTCCTCCTCTTCCTTCTCTTCCACCTTCTTCTCCTTCCTCCTCCTCCTCCTCCTCCTTCTTCCTCCTCTTCCTCCTCCTTCTCTTTTTCTCCTTCTCCTCCTCCTTCTCCTTCTTCTTTTGAGTTCCACTTCCACTTCCAATTGAACTTCCTTAGCTAACAATCTGCCTTTTTTACTGCCCCCTTTTCTTCCCCGGAAGCTGAATTCAGCCAACCTGATTACTAACCCTGAAGATTCACAACTTGGTCTTTTAACATCCCTTGCTGTCTATGCCAGGACACTAATTTGCATTCAGGGATGTTGTCCTCTCCTTTTGATTGTAACTCTTTACAGTGTCAGACAACTCCACTAAGGATAGACCTCTGAATGACTTTGGTTATGTTATTTCTTATCCCCATTTCTTGGGATGATATTGGTAGATTTTTCTGCAAGATAGTTGGAATTACAAATAAAATAACAGACCTCACCTTGGTAAAGCATTTTTCCAGTGGAATTCTTGCTCTTCATTAATAATATCTTATTCTAATACAGTATGTCATACTTTCTTAAATGTTCCACATATTCTCATTTAATTCTGAGGATAACATATGAAGTTTCACTATTTGGCCATCTAAAATTTTTACTTACTGATTAAATTTTTGTTGTGCCTTCTCCCTCTCTGTTTTTCTTTCTCTTGCCACCAGTTCTGTAATGTAATGATGACAAATCTAAATATGTAAACACCAGTGTTTTTTTAAGTTTTAATTCAGTGAGTATTATTCTGTTTGCATTTAAATTAGTTTAATTTTTAATTCAGTTTTGGACCCTCATCTGATAGAAATGTGATCATTTCAGTTGTTACTAAACATAATGATAATTGGAGAAAGGAACCGGTATAATAATAGCAAATATTCATTGAATGCTTTCCTTGTGCCAAGCATAGTTTTAAGCACCTGATGTACATTCGCTCTTTCAATCCTCACAATTCAACAAGGTAGATGCTATTATTAACTGTTTTACAGATGAGGATGCTGGGAGGGTACGGAACCCACTCAAGGTCATGTAGCTAGCAAGTGTCAGAACCAAGATATAAACCTAGTTAGTCCAATTTCAAATCCTGTGCACTAACTATAATAAAATGATTGCAAATCCTGAAACAAATTACACATGTTAATTCGCTGATAATTGCCTTGCAACTTTCAAATCTGTTCCATGAAAGCCACTCATATATCTTGCTATTGTGACATGCAGAGTTGAAATTATAAATCATCCTTTGTTGTTCCTGTTCTTATGGTCTTGTTTGGCTGGATGAATAATGAGAAAGGAGCAAAGCTGTCTTGTAAATTTATCTCTATGTCTCTATTTGGCTACTGCCACTAAGATTACCTTGAATAATATAAGGGCTTTTAACACATGAGTCCCTAGGTGCATGTAGGAAGTTCTATTTATACACAGTCCATAGCTGGAAGGTCAATCTGGGCAGAGCCCTGCAGGCGCAAGGGAGGTGGTGAGTGCTAAGGCTGATGGATGATCAGGGGACCACTATCTAGAGTCTAGTTGCGATTTATGGCTAGAGTACTTTCTTCAAGAAGTAGCAGAAGTACGAAGTGGGAAGGTGGGAGATGCAAGTAATTAGTGGACCATTGCTGCACGGACTAAGGAATACTTTTATTTTAAAGTATTCTCATTTTAAAAAGTTATTAAAGAGGTCTCTAATTCACTAATTACCACTGAGTACATTAATTAGGATGCTGGTGAACCTTTAAAATTAGCACCATTGAACAGAGTTGATCTCATACACCAAAAAAAAGGGCTCCTTGTGAGCTTTGACTTATATTCCCCATGAACAGAGACCATACTGGTGGACCATTCTACTTGTCATTCATTGAGCCCCACTGTTTACTCCTTGTGTTACTTTGGATGCCTTTTTAGAAGCAGAAAAATGTAATAGTGAAGGGAAATGGAGCTGTTTACCTAAATCACTGATTTGGATTCTGTCATCCCCTAGAGAGAATGATCTAAGCAACCAGTTCTAAAAATTGCTACAAAAGAGAAGAGGACTCCTGGGCTGGGGGTGAGCTTCCAGTAGAAGGTAGAGCCACAAGGGAGATATTAAGGACTAGGTTATGTGAAGTCCTTGCCAGTCTGGGAGAGAACACCAGGTTGTCCCCCCATGGACGCTAGTTCCCTTGCCACTTGAATTGTGAAGAAGAATTCCTCTTGACAGGCAACTTTAGCTTTTCCAGTGGCTGGCAGCTTGTTCAGCCACCCCATTGTCACCAAAATATAAAACATTCAGACTCAGCAACTTTGAGAAGCTAGTTTTGTTGAGGATAAATATGCACATCTTAAATTTGACTATTAAAAGGAAGTGTGGCAAAGCAGAAGGTACATGACTATTTGGATCAATCAAGCCTGGGTCTACCACGTATTGTCTCTCTAATGCCAGGCAAGTTATTTGAACTCACCAAACCTCAGTTTTCTTATCTGTGAGGTATTAATAATACTCACATTGTAGGAATTTTATATGGATTTGAGATCCTGCCATATATATGTATATATGTGTGTGTGTGTATATATATATATATATATATATATATATATATATATATGCACACACACACACACAGATATATATATATATATATTCCCTTGGCCAGTGCATAGTGCCCAGTGGATCTTCCCTGCTTGATGATGACTATTTCTTCAATACTATATAAGCAAAATTTCTCTCTGTTCTTATCAATCTTAATAGTTTCTTAATAGAATCTATATAGAATTTCCCCTCCTCTAACACCCTGACCAGATTAATCTCCCCAAAACAGAATTGTAATTTTGTTGTTCCTTTACTCAGAAACCTCTGCGGACTTCTCATAAAGACTACACTCCTGATAACCTAACATTTAAGACTTTCTGCAGTCTGGATCCCAAAGTCCTCCTCTAGGCCATTGCTATCCTACATGGATCCTTTGCTTTGTTTTTTAAAAACAATTCCAAGTTTGCTCAGATTGTTCCCTTTTACTTCTCAGATTGTTCCCTTTTGCCTTCTTCCCTTCCTTATCTTTCTGTATTTTACAACACTTTGAAAACAAAAAACAGCTTTGAATATGAATGACACCTCAATAAAGTGATTTAAAACAAACTACAACAACAAAACTCATATAAATGCTGCAGAAATTTTTGTTTTGAAATTACACAGGACTTTGTACCTTTCTTTATAGAAAGTGTGATTCCCCAGGCAGTGTGTGCTTTGAGGCCACCACCACCAGTTGTGAAAAAAGGAAGTGTCTTTCCATTGAGCTTTATCTATGATAGCTAATTGTGCAGGAAATGAGTTAGTACTTAGGTTTTTGGTATGATGATTCCTGTCATTACTGAAGTATTTAATGAAAATCAAAATCAGTGAGGTAATACATGAGAAAATGCTTATTAGCATTGATATCAAGCATATTGTTGAGTATATAACTACACATTTTATGTATTTATTTATAAGAAATGTTTAGTGTTTGTTGCAGTTAATAAGTAGTCTTATTATTTCTCAAAGTATCTATATATTTATAAGTTACTGAAAGATAATACCAATTTTATTTTGATGATTTTCCAGATTGACTAAGGATTTCTATCTTGTTTCCATAACTGACTTTTATTTCTATTCTAGTCCTAATTTTATTTTTCACAAGTCATGCTAATTATACTGGGGCTTTTATTATACTGACATTTGTTACCTTTGTATATAGAAAAATGTAGACATAATTTAGGGTTAAGATTTAAAGATTTTATTTTGATCATAGGTTTCCTTAAAAAGCTATCTAGTTCAACACATATGCTATGTTGTGATAACTGGTATCTTGTTTTTTGCTATTATAATCAAGGACTTACTTTCTTCACCTCAGGAAGGAGATTTTAAAAATTCATTAATTATATTGACCTTGCCTTTTCTGGCACTGTTACCCATTTTAAGTCTCTTTAAAACAACTTATGAAGCCATTCTTAGCACCTTTGCTCTATAGATATTGGTATACTCAGCATAGACATAGAAAAAAGCCCTAAGTCTCACTGCATTGTTATCTGATATAGTCAGTACGGCTTTTGTAAGCTTCCAGTTTGATGCATCTTAACTTTTCCTTGCACTATAATGAGTGGAGTAATGCAAGCAGATTTTATAGCTAAATGATCTAGATATTGCAAAGAATTTACATTTTTTCTTTTACAATGGCTACTGGCATTTGGTAGTTGATCAGGAAAACTTTTTGCTGTACTTACTAACTTGTCATATGTGTTTAACCAAAGCCTTCAACCAACCTAGCATGATCAGACTGTCATGGAATATCATGTCTGATAGAGACAAGATGATTAATTTGTCTTCCTGCTAAATCTTCATCTTAGCATATTTGGGTTGCTACAACAAATACCATAGACTGTGTGATTTAAACAGTGGTTTATTTTTCAGAGTTGTGGAGGCTGGGAAGTCCAAGATAAGGTGCTTGCAAATTCCATATCTGGTAAGGGCCTATTTCCTAATTCATAGATAGCTATAACCTCATATGGTAGAAGGAGCAAGTTAACTTTCTAGGTCTCTTTTATAAGGGCATTAATTTCATTTATAAGGGTTCCCCTGTCATGACCTAATCACCTCCTGAAGAACCTACCTCCAAATACCATCAAAGTGGAAGTTAGAGTTCAACATATAAATTTTGGGGAGACACAAACATTGTCTATTTCAGCCTGTGACTTTAATGTCCAGACATGTTGTAAAATCCAGGATTTTTGTTCCATAAATCTTTAAAGTGTCTTGGAGATTCCAATGTTTCAGCATCTACATGACATCTAATGTACTGTTTTTTTACATTCTAAAATGGAACAGAAATTCTTCAGGTGACCATATGGCCTTAATTTTGATTGGGAATATATTAACATATTTATGACTCAAGTAGAGACACAGTTTGCCTTAAGTTGTATATATATTTATTTTCTATCTAGCTGGTAGACTTTTTGGTTAGGTTTCAGTGATACCTGTCTTTTTTAAAGTCACATACCCACTTTTAGATCAACTATGTGGATATAGGGTCAGTCAGCTTCCATTGGACCACATGTTAGAAGAAACAGGGAGAGAGAAGTGTGGTTCTTCAAAAGGGAATAATAAAGCCAGACCTACTGATGTGGTTACTGTCAGTTAAATAGTACTTAAATTTGTGTCTTCTACTGGGAGACCATTAAGAAAGGGATGTGAAGAGGGAAATAATATTTTTTTAAAAAATCAGGATCTTTAATGCTCTCTAGGTTCAACCTTGGAGAAGAGGCCAGAGTTGAAGAATTCAGAAGGGAAACAGGTGAGAAAAGAATCATTATTGATACTGAAAGTTGATTACAATGAGACAAATGGTAAGAAAGGATTACTCTTGAAAAGCCCAATTGAGCAGGAAGTGTCAGAGAAGGTAAAGGGAGTTATAAAGAATGGCCTTATCAAGTAAAGTTTGTGGAGGTGGGATATTGAGGGATGGAAGAAACTTGGCCATGATTGTAAGAGTCTGCAAAGATGGAAAGTTTGAAGAGAAAGGAAAGAAATGGAAGAAGGGCAGCAGATGATGGAACATTAGGAGACACAGATCAACTCTGAGACTGGGAGAAAGGTAAAGATAGATGTGGGTCTAATGAGTTTTCTGAGAGTGGTATGAGAAATGAATAATGGTGGGCATTATTTTTTTAGAGGACTTAGGCCTAAAGACATGGTATAGGTTGGTAGGTTAGATTCTGAAGTCAGATTCTCTATTTTCAAATCCACATTCTTCAATTTAATAATTGGGTAATGGAAGTTGGTTTCCTTGGATGAGTTACTGAACCTCATTAGACTTCATTGTTTCATTTCATCTGTAAGATGAGGAAGAGCCTAGAGTTAAAAGCTTGAATTCTATAGCCAGATTACCAGGGTTTGGAGCTAGTAAGTTCACTTAATGATCTTGTCAAGACACTTAGCTTTTTGCTTCTGCAAAATGCAGACAATAATAATATCTATCTTAGAAGGCCACTGTGAGGTTTAAGTGAGTTAGTATATATAGGAATTTAGAATAGTATCAGGCACATTGTATAAGTTTATTTAAAGGGTTTGATAAACAGCATTATAACTAAATTATGCATTGTTTTGAAATTTTTCAAACTGTTCAGCTCATAAGGCATTCAAATATAGAATGAGCTCCTAGCTGTTGATTTCTAGAGTTGGAATTTTGCTTGCCAATTAGGAGATAAGGATAGCTGTGTTGCTCACGGGCATATAGTCTGAGTGACAACCTTGGAACAGGCTGGAAAGGGAAGAAGAGAGGACAGATAGGGACTGCTGCACCAGAAGGTAAACCTATTCCTATTTCAAGTATTGGGTCCACCTCCTCATTGTTGCCTCCTCCCCCATGTACAAAACTGTTTTTATGATCCACATCATAGGACTTTTATGGGAATACTGGAGGTATTTCTGATGTCATTAAGAAAATAGTGGAGGTATTTCTGATGTCATTAAGAAAATCCTCTTAATGACATATCAGAAATATATGGGGAGTGAGACAGGCCTTCAAACCACATTCCTATTTGTACAAATGACTTTATAGTGAAGTTCTCATGTCTGTTTGTATGATATCACTGATGTCTAAGGCTTATGCTAGTCAATTTAGCCTTTGGTGGGCATGTGAGAATATCTTATTATAATATGATGCTGCCTAAACATTTAGGAATATACTTCCCCATCACACACATGTACCTACATACTTCCCATGCATATTTGGTTAAAGTTTTGAAGGAAATAGAGGAAGAGTGAAAATATTTGGCTGAAGGGAATGAAGAAAGCATTCCAGAATACTAAGACTAACACCCATTTGAACTTCACAGAAAGTATCATGAGAATGTCAGTGATTAGAACTGATCAGATATTTGGCTGTCTTTTTCAATCAGCAGATAGATTTGAACCAGATCACCACTTCTATGGTTTAGTTTTGAAGAGAGAAAGGGAGGAAAAAAAAAAAAACACCAGTTATTTGTCTCTTTGTTCAAAGGCCTTTTTTTGTATTGTAGATCCCTAAAAAGCTAGTAGAAGAGCCAGCCTTTCACATCCATTAAGGTTAGCCCTGAAACTGTTGAATTTGATCTCTTCCATTTGCCATCTGGATACAGTAGAGAAAAAGCTATTCTGCATTGGGTTGCTGGACACCATCCAGAAAATAATATGTCCGGGCATCAAAGGCTTGAGGCACTTGGTCCAGTCTGTCTAATGATCACAGGCAGGGTCTGCTCTCCAGTTTTGTAGTATGTTTTATTTTTGCAGTGACAATATATATCCCACTAAAATAGATCACAAGGATTACTGCCAACTTGTCAAAGCTGGGAGTCTTCTATCATAGACTTCAAAAAAGGACCAGATTTTAATTGGGCAAAGCTTGATTTCCAAAATCCATCTCCCTTCATCTCAATCTATCCTTTTTCCTTATGGACAGCACTTACTGCAAGGATTCTGATTCATAGTTTGTTTGACTCCATGCCTAAGTCTCAAATTTAAAATGTCCTAAAGATTGACTTCATTTAAAATGGTATGCATCATCCTGTATATAAGAGGGCCCAGTATCGGGCAGCTAATAACCACACTGGCGGCTTTCCAAGAATCTGACAACCATGTCTTATTATTCACACCAACTGGAGCCAATTGTGGCTGGATTTTCTTTTATTATTTTTATTATTCTGTTATTTTAAAATGTGGATAGGAAACAACAGCAGTGGCATGTCCTCTGGTCTCTTCTGGGATTGGGGAGGAGACTTGCATAATAGGACCTGTAACATAAGGGAGCATATGGCTATGGTTTAAGGTAGCTGGAGGCCTACTAAGTCTTAGCTAGGATACAGCAGACTTTTTCTGGATCTTTGCAGGATGTGCTTAGGAATGAATTTACAGTGTCTAAAGCATTTAAAATTGTAGGGAATTGTCATTTTGTCTGTTACACTGAAAAGGGATAGCAGGAAAAGTTGCCAAATGCTAACCATGAAAATTACTTTCCTTTGGACGGAATGGTCCTCAAGCTGCACCCTACATAGTAGGGCAACTCCCAGATCTCCAAACCTGATCTCAGAAGTGGGGCAATCTCTTGCTGAATTTTGGCTGGGTTACTGAAAGGTGTGTTGTGTACAATAGCACTTGGGCTTGTACCTTGTTCGTGTTCTCCAGTAAGACCAAAGTTATTATTTATTCTGCTCTAGACAGACTCTGTCAGAGGGACTTTAATCTCAGAATCTTCCTTCCATCTTCCTGTTCTTCTTCTCTGCCTTTGGATACCCTGATATTGAGAACAACAAATAGTTCTCCTAGATTAAAAAAAAATAAACAAAATCTCCTGCAGACCATAAACCAAGCAAAGCAATGTTGCCAGTGTTGAGCAATATTGTCCCTGCTAAGCTTTGTGCACATACAGCTTTTATTTGGCCACTCTCAGATTAGCCTATTCCTTTCTATAGGTTGGTGTCTTTTTTCCTTGAGTGTTTACCTGTGCTGAGATCCCTTCTCTGGCCTTGAAAAAGGGAGGAAAAGAGGAGATATCAAATTAGCAGTAGTTCGTCCCTCCCTTTTCACTGCCCTGAGAAGTCTGTTCGCCCCTCCCTTTCCCCACCCCTGTGAACTAAGCTCTTTACTGTCTCCATAGTTTTTCCTTTTCCATGATGACATATAGTTGTGATCATACAGTATGTAGCCCATTCAGAATGTTTTCTTTCACTAAATAATAAGCATATATATTTCCTGTCTTTTTGTGGCTTGATATGTCTTTTTTTGGCAGGGGGCGGAGGGGGGGGATTAACCGGGGATTAAACTCTGGGGCACTCAACCACTAAAACACATCCCCAGCCCTATTTTGTATTTTATTTAGAGACAGGATCTCACTGAGTTGCCTTTGCTGAGCCTGGTTTGAATTACGATCCTCCTGCTTCAGCTTTGGGAGCCACTGTGATTACAGGCATGTGCCACTATGCCCGGCTCATTTCTTTTTGGTGCTAAATAATATTCCATTTTTCTAGAAGTACCACCATTTATCCATTCACTCTTCAGGGATGTCTTGCCTGCTTCCTAGTTTGGGCAGTTATGAATAACTTGTGTGTGCTTTGTGTGGACATAAATTTTCATCTTATTTGGGTCAATACCAAGGAGTGTGATTTGCTGGATCCTAAGGTAAGGGTATGTTTTATTTTATAAGGATATGTCTTCCAGAGTGGCTCTACTTTACACAATCACAATAGATCGACACTTTTAAAGTGAAAGTAAAAGCAAGTGCAACATAATATGTCTTCCAATTTTGTTTAAAAATTCATCTTACCTATGTAAATTTTTCTTATTTTTTTTTTAATAAAGATGTGGATGGATACACTCCTGACTCTTAATATAATGGCCTTAGCTAGGTTTGATATAAAGAAGGAAAGGACTTTTTTTTATATACTTTTCTTTAAATAGCTTTATATTATTACTTTGTGTAGCTTTTTGTTACAAGAATCAAATGTCATAGTTCTTTCTTCAATCTAATAAAGAAGAGGGGAACAAGGTGACAATATGCTCCAAAGGCCCAGAAGAGGTTCCAGAGGGTGTGTGTGTGTGTGTGTGTGTGTGTATGGGGACAGTAGCATATGAAGATTAAAATGCTGTCGTTATCAACTTGGCAGAGGCCTGATATTCCAGTGTAAAGCTCTGGTAAACTTGATTAGGCCCAGGCTTTCCACCCTCTGCCTAAACCCAAATGTTGGGTCCTGAATTACTAGTTACCTTAGAGAGGGTGCGAGAGACCAAACTGAGCTCCTAAATGAGGAAAGAGAGTCAGGGAGCCAGGCCTGGCTCTAGGGTTGGCTAACAGGGATGACAGAAAGGGCAAGACTCCTCGGTAAACAACATGGCCCAGTCATTGTCCTTGTAGTGGATCAATTTAATGAGCAAGAACAAGTGAAGAAAAGGAGGCTCTCTTCAGTGAGAATTACTGGTCGTAACAGAAAAATTTGAAAACTGCTCTGGAGTAGGTCCCATTAAACAAGTGAGAAGAATACAATGAGGAATTAACAAAGACAAAATCGAAGAAATCTGAGAGCCTAAAACATAAACGATTCATTGTAGCTTCATGAAAATGAGAGAAGAGTGTTTTAAAGGGTGGTAATAAACTGTGTCACTTGATAGATTCAAAGAGCTCTTTGGACAGCAACAAGGTATCAGAGGGCAGTGGATTATGGGATGAGGATCATTTTGGGGTTTTGAAAAGCTTTAGTAATTCTGTGACTAAGAAACCAGATTGTGGAGGAAGTTATATGGGTAGCAGATGTAGGGTTTCTC